TTACGTGTATACAAATTTTTGTATTTTCTTAAAAACAAATACGGTATACGATTTAGTATACTTCCTCCTTATCAAACCAAGTCAAGTGGACACTTTCTCCTTATCTAAAAATGGATTCAAACCAAAAAAATTTGGTGGTGCAAGAAAATATGAATCCAAATGAACATAACACAAATACAACAACCACGAATATCCTGTATGTCTTGAAAGTTTTAAAATTATAACATTTTTAAAACAAAACATAGACTTCTAAACCTACAAAAATATTTTGAAACGTGATTTTTAATAGGGGTGTGCATTCGAATCGGTTTATCGATAAATCGAATCGATTATTTGTTATCGGTTTATCGATATCGGTTTATCGATTTATCGATTTCGATTTCGATTTCAAAATTTTCCTTATCGAGTTATCGATTTCGATTTCGATTTTGTCCTCTTCGATTTATCGGTTTATCGATAAACCGATAAGAAATACTATAAAAAAAATTAATTTTTTTAAAAGTATTTTTTTTAATTTTTTTTTACCCTTGTTCTATAATACCCTTTCCTTTACCCTAAGTCCCTAACCCTATTATTTCATCTACCACATTTAAGGAATGATCATACTTAAAGCTCAAGGGAATGAAGTTCAAATTAATGGAAAATAGAATTAGCCGCGATGATGTATTTTTTTTATACCGTTGGAGTGTTGGTGGCATACATTTGATCCCTTACTTTAGTTTCCTTGCATGTGCTTGTTGACATAATTTTTATGTTATAAACGGTGTTCGTCTTATTTTAGCTTCTTTTGGTCCATATTAGTTAGGCGTGTTTATAGCGATATACTTTCCGTGGAATCCCGCAAATTTTCTTATTGGTGTAATCGATAACCGAATCGATAAGCCCAAAAATCGATAAATCGAAATCGAAAAAATCGAAACCTTATTGAAACGATAACGATAAGCATATGTACAAATCGATAATCGATAAGTAATTATCGATAAGGGTCAAAATCGAATCGATAAATCGAATGCACACCCCTACACAATTCCCTATCTTTTGTGGTATCTGGAACATATGAGAGCACAAAGGAGTTCCTTTCAACTCAATACTTCTATGGCAATCTGAAATGGTACAAAAGCGAGATTTTGGATAGGCCCATGGCCGGGCCATTCGCCTCCAAACGATTAGGATCCAATTCTTTTAGACCATGAGGCCGTATTTTCAGATAAAAGTTCAGAATAGGGTAGGAATATCATATTAAATGATTAGAAAATAGATAGTGTTTGCTCACTACGAGTGCAAAAGTATTTATACATAAATTTTGTATGAGGAGGTTGTGAGTAAAAAAAGTTTACAGTGATATTGTCTTCGAATAAACTGTGGCTGTATTCCTTTAGAAGGTCATCATCATCACTAAACTTAAGAACTTTGTAGACTTCGACCTGTGACTCAATATTCTGTTGCTTAACAATAACCTTGAATATGATTTTTTTTATAAAGAATATCGTCCAGTTACTTGGATAAGAACAGTCAGCATCCGCAAGTGAAGTCTACACCAAATTTCATAGCTTAGAAATATTTTTATGGTTAATCAAATTAACTTTAGTAGTATACCTCAAGTAATCTTTCCTTAGTTCTTTTGCGGACTTCCCTCTAAGTTGCATAGCTTCGCGATTCCAAAGCAACAATGAGATAAAAGCGGTTCCATCCATAACACGAACTTGAAGCCTATACCTGCAACTCAATTTTGATTAACCTTATGCATATTTTTTATAGATAGAAGATTTTAAATATACATAAATAGTACTAACCTGTGAGTAACTGAAAATTTTTCTTCATTGCATTTGTTACAAAAGTATTTATTTCCAACTTTTTCAACCTTTCGACTATGCTTGTTGCATGCCAAGTATGACCATCCCCGGTCAAGTTCCAAATTAACCAATTTTACCGCAATCCAATAGCTACATTCCTATTGAGTAAAAAATAAACAATTATTGTAAATGCAAAACAGAAAACATAAGGAAAATATAATTGAGAAAGTAAATTAAACTCACTTGCGTGCACTGAACTAAATCCCTAATAGTTTTAAACAGTACAATTCCTTTGTCTAACTCATCTCTAACAGAGTAACTTTGCTGAGAACTTGTTCGAGTGATTCGCTCAATGTTTGATTGACGTGTTGCAAGTAATCTGCATAAGTCAAAAATTGTAATTTATAAATACTATTGTTATATTTTGTGTACAGATAGAAAAGGATTATACACTTGACGAACCTGGATTTAAAGTCAATAGACTGCGGCAACGTAGAATTTATCCATATCTTTATCTGATACCAACAGCTACGCACTGAGTAATTACCTATGTATCAAATGAATTATAAATAAAAATTTGAAATTTAAAATTTTTATACAGTAAAATTAAAAAATACATGTAATTTATGGTAAACCTCGATATTTTTGAGGTTTCATATGCTGCAAAACAACAATCAAAGGCTCATTGGCAGATTTATTCAAGTGATGTTGAATTTGATCCACAAGTTCGCTCCATAATGTTGCCATAATCCTGTTCCTCCTATACGTTTCATGGTAAGGTTAATAAACACATATATAGGTAATCTATCAATAAAGTATTGTTTCTATTTTTGAAGTACTTACTGATCATCTTCGAGTACAACATTAATAAGGACACTTTGGTCGTCTCCCTGCTTGTGGTACTTACATCTTCATGGTCNCAATCTATCTATATCTATATAATATTAAAAGCACGAAGGCCCTTAGCAAAATGTCATTCGCCTTTTTTACCCTTTCATAATGGATTTCATATTGGACAAAAGTGTAATTTAAATTATTTTTTTAATATTTAGGACCTTAAAATCAATTAAACTTTTAGTTATTAATCATTTTTGAAATATTTATTAAGTCCTAATATTTGGCACTTTAAAATTGATTAAGATTTACCTTACATAAATTCTTTTTCCTAATTAAAGTATGTAACATATTTATAATTAGTAGTACCAAAATTAAAAAAATTTAAGGCTAAACATTAACTACACGTAGAAGGAGTTCTTAGGCATAAAGTTTTTGAAAATTAAGTATAATTTGTTTATGTTTTTTTTCCTAATATTTAGTATCTTGATATAAACTAAAATTTTATTTATTAAATTTACTAAATTTTATTCGAACTNTATACTTATACAAATTATTTATACCTATAGCTATCCATATATTATATATTATATTAAAAGTACGAACTTCCTTAGCGGAATGTTGTTCGTCTTTTTTACACTTTAAAAAATGATTTCTTATTGGATAAAAGTGTAAATTAATTTTTTCCTAATATTTAAGTGAAATACATTAAAAATTTGGTATTAAATCTTTTCTTATTTGAACTATGTAGGAACTCCTAATACTCAAGTTATATAAATTTATTTCTTAAATTTCTAAACACTAAAAGTTACTATTGTAAACTACCATAAACACATAAGGACGAGTAAGAAAATATCTTTAAATAAATGGCATGCTTAAGTTTAAAAATAATAATAATAATTCATAGTAATAATATATAACATACTTTAATTTTTTATTTACATATTGTAATATATAGCCATAGTAAATCACAAAACCAATTACAATATTCGACAAGTGAAGCATAGATAAGATACTTAGATTTATATATTGAAATTAGCATTAAATTGTACTCTAATTTATAAGATCGTTTAAAATATAACTTTCTACATATTTTTTTAAAACTATGCTTATTTAAGTAATATAGGAAGTCAAATAATATTATTCATATCACTTTAAAAATTTCTTTCCAACGATAAGGATACGCGCAACGCGCGTACTCTAAAACTATCCCGTCTAGGCACGAAGGTCCTTAACGAAATATCGTCCGCCTTTTCTGCCTTTTAAAAATAGAATCACACTGAACAAAATAGTCATTTTATAATTTTACTAGGACTTTAAAATCAATTAAAATTTTAGCTATTAAATCTTTACTTATTTAAATATATAAGAATTGCTAAAATTTAGGATCATTAAAATTTTTACCTTATAAATAAAGATAGCTAAAAAAGCTATATCCCTAAAAAATTCAACAGCCACTAGGGATGTTTGGATAGGGTCTGCATAACACATGGAAATCTTTACTGCTCTTTTTACTGATAAATTTAAACTTGTCGCTAATATTACTCAATAAATGGCGCCAACTTATTTTTTGGTGGGAAACTTTAGTGGACGAAACTTCACTACAAAATTTTGTGTTTCGTCACTAAAAGTATGTGGTTCATGTATTTAAAGACGAATTATATTTTTTGTTACAAAAATTGAACAATTAGTGACGAATTTTGTGTTGTATCTAATAATCCGTAGCTAAATATCACAATTGTTGTAGTGAATTTTCTGCCATCTAGGTTTGTTTAAGTATGTTTTCGGCCATCTAGGTTTGTTTAAATAGTAGGGCTTTGAAGACCTTATTATACTAAAAAATATATGAAATACACAATCAAATACTAAAAATATACGAAATGCACAAACAAATACATGTATATAGATGAATAATTTTGAATTATATGGATGTATACTACAAAAAAAAAAGGATGGAAATACGTAAAAAAAATAAAAGAAAAGCTTTATGGAAAATAGGGTTTGCAACCTTTGAGATCTTTCATATATTGGGAAGACAACTATTAAATGGTGGTAGAGAAATATTCAAAATTAATCAAAAGGGCATTATCGGTATAGAAATATGTCTGAAACCCTAATTGGGGCGTAAAATTACCTTAATGACCCCATTTGGGTCAATCTGGCCAAAAATGATGTGGCCAAAAGGATTTTTCCTTATAATTATCTATTGCAATTTCAAATTAATACTTATTAAATACTACAATATTTATAGATACTTATGAACCCGTAATAATTACATAGGTGACATTAGAGATTAACCGTAAAAATTAAGTCAAAAGGTTTCTAGAATGCTCTCACCTCACGTTAGTTAACGTGCGCTGAACCTGGTCATCCATGGCGAGAGGGAGGGGGAGAGGGCGAGGAAGACCCAAAAAAATTGTCATTACCAGCTCAGAAAGACCAACTACCACACATAGCAAACCAACAGAAAAGGAGACTGATCTGCAAACGCCAGACCTAGAACTTAACTCGGACACTAGAGCTCAATGGAGGAACACTGGGGGTGTGTCTAGCTCAGGAGTTTCAAAGAAGCTAGATCTCACAACACCTCCAGCTTCTGCGTCAAAAGTGCAATTGGAGGAAAAAACGAAGGATCAGGGTCTGCATGCTACAGTAGCTAATGCAACAGTAACAATTGCGGAGGAAGAACAAGGAGTGATGAAACCAGCCTTAGTGACAAAAGAAGTAGGCCCTAAAACATGGTCTAATCTATTCCAGAAGAACAGATCTGCAGCAAATGGTATGTCTCTCTCATATATTCCACCGGAAATTGTCAATGGTCAAGTAATTGTGCAATTGGATAAGGAAGAGGTTGAATCTGAAACTGAGAAGTGGAAATGTGCCTTAATTGTATACATTCTAGGAGATACCCCAGGATACAACACTATGAAGAGATATATAAATGTTAATTGGGCAAGTGTGAGGGAACTAGATGTATTTCTTCATGAGGAAGGTTATTACATCATCAGATTTCACTCTAAAGCTGATATGAAAGAGATTTACTATTCTGGACCGTATACAATTAACAATAGGCCTATAATTTTGAAGCCCTGGACTGCAGAGTTTGATTTTAAAGAGGAATTTCCCACTGAAATTCCCCTATGGGTTAATTTTCCAAAATTACCATTGAATTGCTGGGGGAGTTAACTCATTGAGTAGAATAGCAAGTGCAGTTGGAACCCCTATTTTTGCGGATGAATGCACAACTAAGAAAACCAGGATCTCATATGCTAGAATGTTGATAGAGGTTAATGTGACTAGACCTTTGAAGGAAGAAATCTGGGTTAGAGATCCAAAGGGGAAACAATTCTTGCAAGATGTCTACTATGAGTGGAAGCCTAAATTCTGTGAGCAGTGTCAAAAGGTTGGCCACTCATGTGCTCCTCATGGTACTGGTACTAAGCAGGATGGTAAGCAGCAGATTAATCAAAAAGGCAAAGCAAGGGAGGCTAAGAAAGTGACTATGGAATGGAGAACTAAAGGAAAGGTGCAGCAAAATGATACTCAATCTGTACAATCCATACCAGTTGAGCAACAGATGCAACAACAGGCAACAGAGGTTCAACAGAAGGCAATCATCTCAGCAAAGTCCAGGCCTGAAAGTAGCCAAGGACAATATGAGACAGCACCACCAAGTAGCCCAAGTAAAGTTATACTGAGTAACCACAATCGAGGGAAACAAGTGGAGTGCAGTCCTGAGTTTAACTTGACAAACTTTCCACTATTGTCTACTGTAAAACTGAGAAATCCATTTGAGGTGCTACCATGTGGAACTGGGGATGTGCAACAATTACCCCTTGACAGGGGAGGAGGACACCTAACATGCTAACTAATTGGCTATTCTGGAATGTGAGGGGAGTCAATAAGAGGTATAAACAGAAGGAATTGGCTAACTATATCAAAAGCAAAAATGTCAAGATAGCTGGCCTAATGGAAACCAGAGTGAAAGAACACAATTTCAAGAGAGTTACTAAAGCTATTGCACCTGATTGGGAAGGGATAAATAACTACCAATATGCTCAAAATGGTAGGGTGTGGGTATTATGGGATCCAAGATGGTATAGTGTGAAGTTACTCAAAGCTGGGGATCAATATGTGCATTGTCAAATTACAGATAATGTAGGAAAGATAGACTGCCTAATAACAGTAGTCTATGGACATAACACAATTGAGCAAAGGAAGGCACTATGGGCAGAGGTTCATAAAATGGCTGCAAACATAACCACTCCTTGGTTAATTGGAGGAGATTTCAATGCAGTTCTATATTCCCAAGATAGACTAATGGGCAATCCTATAACATATGCTGAAACTCAAGATTTTGCTAACTGCATTCAAACTCTGCAGTTGAGTGAATTGCTATGGAAGGGTGATTACTACACTTGGTCGAACAAACAAGATGGCACTGACAGAATCAGAAGCAGAATTGATAGGATGTTTGGAAATTTTGAGTGGATGATGCAATGGGGACAGGTTAAAATGAATATGATTTGCCTCAAATATCTGATCATTCACCTATGCTCCTTTCAATATTCATGAATTCAAGGCCAGGCAAAATTCCATTCAGATTTCTAAATGTTTGGGCAGATCATAGCAGGTTTTACAAATAGTGCAAGAAGTATGGGAGCAGAATGTGACAAAGTGGAGAATGCAGAATATATGGTTGAAATTGAAAACCTTGAAAGCTAGACTTAAAACCTTAAATAATGAGGAGTGTAGATCTATTGCTTACAAGATTGATAGGGCTCGTGGAGAACCACAAGAGATACAAGAGAGGATTATCACTAACTATACTGATGGCCTGCTGGAGCAAGAGAAAAATGCCCTTCATCAGATGGAAAAATGGTCTCTTATACAGGAAAGTGTCCTAAAGCAAAAGTCTAGAGCAAGATGGATTAAGCTTGGGGATTCTAACTCCAAATACTTCTCTGCTATGTTGAAGGAGAGAAATCAAAGGAAGCAGATTAAAGAACTCACAGCCCTAGATGGTCAGAAGCTGAATGATGCTGATAAGATCAAACATGAAATCATTGAATTCTACAAATCATTGATGGGGACTGCAGCAACAAATCTACCCTCAATAAATAGGGAGATCATGAAGCAAGGGCCTGTGCTATCCCAACAGCAAAGAAGGCAACTAGTTGCAGAAATATCTGATCAAGAAATATTTGAAGGACTGCAGAATATAGGGGAGGACAAAGCTTCAGGAATAGATGGTTACAATGCTTGCTTTTTCAAGAAGACATGGCCTGTTATCAAAGTGGAGATCTGTGAAGCTGTTAAGGAATTCTTTAGTACTGGGAGACTGTATAAGGCACTTAATGCACTACCCGCACACTAACTCCAAAGGTGGACAAGCCAGTCACAGTGAAAGACTTTAGACCTATTGCTTGCTGTACTCTACTCTATAAGATGATCTCCAAAATACTAGCAGCAAGAATGCAGAAGGTTATTGCTAGCATCATTAGTGAAAATAAGGCAGGATTTATACCTGGGAGGAGAATTGCTGACAATATTATCATGGCTCATGAATTGGTTAAAGCTTACACAAGGAAACACATCTCAGATAGATGCATGATTAAGATAGACTTACAAAAAGTCTATGACTCAGTGGAGTGGATCTACTTGGAGCAGGTAATGGAAAGTTTGGGCTTCCCTGTTCAATTCATCAGCTGGATCATGGAGTGTGTCAAAACAGTCAATTACACTATCTTGATCAATGGAGAGACTACTACCCCTCTTGATGCAAAAAAAGGGCTCAGGCAAGGGGATCCCATATCACCCTTCCTATTTGCCATTGCCATGGAATATCTCAGTAGGAGTCTTCATGGATTAAAGGAGGACAAAGAGTTAAGATACCATCCAAAATATGCCAAACTTGGTATTACACACCTAAGTTTTGCTGATGACCTTCTGCTATTTGCAAGAGGAGACTTATGGGGAAGAGTTCAGTGTATTTTGGAGGGGTACCAAGAGATGAAAGAGATAAAATCTTACTGCATCTAGGGTATGGACAAGGGGAAATGCCTTTCAAATATCTAGGCATTCCCCTGTCAACAAAAAAGATATCGATGATCCAATGGCAGCCACTCATTCAGAAAATAGTAGCAAGAATATCCTCACGGACAGCTAAGAAACTATCATATGCAGGAAGAGTACAACTAGTTCAAAGTGTCATTTTTGGAGTACAAGCATACTGGGCTCAGATTCTACCCTTACCAGTCAAGGTACTTAAAACTATTGATGCATATTATCGAAGTTATATATGGTCAGCAACCAATACCATAACTAAGAAGGCATTGATATCTTGGGAAAAGATGTGCTCTCCTAAATCCTGTGGTGGTCTAAATTTGGTGAATATCATATATGGAATAGAGCAGCTATTGCAAAAATATGCTGGGATGTGGAAGCAAAACAAGATAGGCTGTGGATTAAATGGATCCATTCTTATTATATCAATGGGCAACAATTCATGCAAATGCCAGCTCCCAAGCAAGCCTGTTGGATGCTCAGACAAATCTTCAATGCTAGAGCTGATTACAATCTGGTGCAGAGGAATAAACAGGTCACTATTACTACTCGACATATATACTTTCAGCTGCTGGGACAACAAACTCGAGTGCCGTGGAAATGTTTAATATTTCAGAACTGTGCGAGGTCAAAAGCACAGTATACTATGTGGATGCTATTACATGGAAGACTCCCAACCACAGATAGATTGATCAAGTGGGGATTGACAGTGGATACACAATGTTCTTTATGTCACAACCATGAGGAGAATAGAGATCATTTGTTTGTCACGTGTGATTTTGCTAGGAACATATGGATGAAGCTTATGCAATGGATGCAGCATGATTATACAAGGAAGCAGAACTGGGAGCAGCATATGGGCTGGAGTATACAGCATGCTAAAGGCAAGACCACAAAAGCAAGAATATTCAGACTGGTATATGCAGAAATAGTTCATGCTATTTGGATTGAGAGAAATTTGAGAATCTTTGAAAAAAGGGCACGTGATTGGAATAGTATTGCTCGAGAGATAGCGTACACATGTACCGTTAGAGCTACTGCTAGTATTCAAAAATGTAGTTCATAGTTATATTTTCTTATGAATGTATAGAGAAGGGTAGGATATATCAGATGAGTTTTTGTAATGAGATAGCTAGTTGTGTAAGCGATGCTATGGTTTGTACAGTTTTACAGGTGATTAATATAAAAGTGATTAATTACCAAAAAAAAAAGGGGAAGAGACAAAGATATAAGACAAACAGGCATAAAGGTACAACTTTTTCAATATTAGCAGCGCAGAATGGGCAGTTAAAATAAAAACCATATAACTAGTCTGCTTAGTTCACTGGACACACCAGTAACTAAATTAAACATATAATTTATCCACCAATGAACTATCAACCACAAGCATAAGACAATAAGAGAATATAAGTACTCTTTCCTCTAACAAGTACATATATGGAACAGACCAGTATGTGCAGACATTAGAAAAGACTGCAGACTGAACAAAAAAGAATCATAGGAAGAAACGCCTGTGATCATTGATAATAAGGTAACAACATGCACAAGAACATTGTTACAAGAACTTTTTGAATTCTAGAGAATCCTTTTCACCCTTGATTCTACCAAATTCCCTAAGCTGAGCACATAAATCAACGCTTACTATCTCTATATAAACAGTTAAACAGATATAAAGTGTTTTTAAGGAGAATCAAACTTCGATACGGGCATAAGCACATTGCCTCACTACTAAAACACCATTAGATACCTTTTATAGCAAGGAAGAGGAGAGAGGAGAAAATGGCGACTGTAGCAGCTGAAATTATGCTACAGTGCGTCTTTGATGGAAGCTTGTCGATGTCAGACATGGATAAGGAGAGACGGCCTTATCATAAAAACTGCAGTTGTGCATTGCACAAACAGAAGGGGGAACAACCAACCACTTGTGTACACAGTAGGAATATAACATGTCCCAAAAGGCAAATACAGAAAGATATGAGTATGTCAATAGCAGCTTCCAAATTTTCTTCTCGATCTTCTTCTTGCGACAATTCATCAGTCAGGAGTGTACAACATACAATTCTGGCTTTAGCAAGTAGTTAATAGATTTTCAAATATAA